GTTTTCTGTATTTTTAAAATAGGCATCATTGGCGGAAAGATGTCAAAGGGAAGGACAGGGGGTGCCTTGGACTGAGAGCTGGTCTTCTGGGGGTGGGGTGGGGGGATCTTGGTAGAATCCTCGCCTGCCGTGTGGGAGTCCAGGTCTGATTCCAGGGCGACTCAGCTCAGGCACAGCCACCATCGTCCGCCCTGGAGGCCCATGTGTTGTTGCTGGACTGGGCGCAGTGGAGCTTCTAGACCAAAGCAGACCAGGAGGAAAGGCCTGGCGGTCTCCTCTCGGGTCTGCACCCCATCCCGAGGATGGCGTGGGGCTAGACAGTGTCTGTCCGTCATACTGGAAGTAACAGTAACAGACCAGAAGCCAGGGGCTGCTTCTGTTTGCCCCACGATCAGCCACTCGCTCTCCCCGGGGGTGGGCGACACCCCCTGCACGGAAGGGGACCCTGACCTCGGCTTTGTCCCCAGCTGCCGCCATGCCTGCCTCGCTGCTGTGGGCCGTGGACCTCTTCGGTCGCGTGTGCACGCTCTCCACCGCGGGCCAGTGCTGGGAGCCCTGCCGGGACGCGCAGCTGGAGTTCAAGCGCGTGAGCGCCACGCGGCACTGCTGCTGGGGCATCGCCGCCGACAACCAGGTCTACCTGTACGTGTGCGCCAGCGACGTCCCCGTGCGCCGCCGGGAGGAGGCCTACGAGAACCAGGTAGAGCCGAGTGGGGCTGGGCCTCCCAATCTCCTCCATTCCCTCTGCTGCGCGTTATCCCAAGACCCACTGCCCGCGAGTCCATTCCAACCCAATGCAGCCTTTTAGAGCTGAGCTGAACTCCCCTTTGGGTTTCCATGGCGGTAAAGCTACAGGAGCAGACAGCCTGGACTTTCTCCTTCCAAGCACTCACCCCGAGGTTAGCGCGGTGCTTCACCTGCTGCATCACCCACCTGGACTCTGATGTCTGCTGAGACTGTAACCCCGTATGGGAATGAAAGAGCCTTGTGGGTCTCCCTTGGAGCAGCTGGTGGTTTCAAACTGCTGACCTTGAAGTTAGCAGCCCAACACCTAACCATTAAGCCACCAGGGCTCCTTAAATGATACTCATGTAATACTTTTGATACTAAGTGTTAGCAATATATCATACGGTAATATAGGAAGTACAGTAATACTGTTTTATCTCTTTGTCTTGGCGACCCTACAGGACAGGGTAGAACTGCCCCTGTGGGTTTCCTAGGCTGTAAATCTTTACAGGAGTAGAAAGCTTCATCTTTCTCCCACAGAGCAATTGGTGGCTTTGAATTTCTGACCCTGTGTTTAGCATCACAGTGCCATGCTACCAGGGCACCTCTTCAATAATACTATAACCAAAGAAAGCCCAAACTTACTGCCCGTGAGTCCGTGCTGACTCATACTGTAATGTTCTAATGACTATTATAGTCATGTTACATACTTCCTTATTTTGCCATGGTAAGATAGATAAACCAATAAAACAATAGCAACCCACTGCTGTTGTGTCAGTTCCGACTCATAGCAACTGTACCGGGCAGAGCAGACATCCTCCCTGGGGTTTATAAAGCAGTAAATCTTCACAGGGCTAGGCAACCTCGTGTTTGTCCCGAGGAGCAGCTGGTGGGTTCAGAACCACTGGCCTTGTGGTTAGCAGCCCTGTGATTATCTAACTATGCCACCAGGGCTTCCCGCTATACAAACCTCACTGCTGTTCAATCACTTCTGACTCAGAGCGACCCTGCAGGACAGGCTAGGGTTGCCCCATAGGGTTTCCAAGGCTCCCACCGTTCCAGAAGGGGTCTGCCACATCTTTCTCTCACGGAGCAGCTGCGGGGCTCAAACTGCCAACCTTTCAGTTACCAGCTGGGCACTTCACCACTGTGCCACCAGGGCCCCTTGTAAAATCACATCGTCTGAGTATAAGGACGTAGTACTTACAGTACAATGTACATTCCTGGTGGCAAAAACGGTGAAAGCTGCCAACTGAAAGGCTGGAGGCTGGCACCCACCCAGAGGCACCTCTCAAGAAAGGCCTGGCTGCTCTACTTTCCCCAAAGCCGTTGGAAACCAGTTGACTCAGAGCCTATGGGCCGCTGGGAATGGGAGCCAGCAGCTGGTTCAACAGACTTGGGTCCACCTGAGTGTATGACCTCAAGGGTCTCTGGGGCAGTTGTCCTCAACAAAGCGGCTGCTGGGTCCTCCCGGGTGGGTTCCACTTTGGGGGGTGGGACATGCTTGCTGCCCAGGGCAGCACACATTGGGGGACCCCTGCAGGCCTGGGTGCTGCCTTCAGGCCCCATCTCTCCGCCTGCCCCCAGCGCTGGAACCCCGTGGGAGGCTTCTGCGAGAAGCTCCTGCCCAGCGACCGCTGGCCATGGAGTGATGTGAGTGGGCTCCAGCACCAGCCGCTGGACGGGGTGGCGCTGCCCTCACCCCACTGGGAATGGGAGTCAGACTGGTACGTGGATGAGAACTTTGGCGGGGAGCCCACCGAGAAAGGGGTAGGTGAACCTGACTGCTCAGCTCCCCCCCCCATCCCCCACATGCTGTGCTGGGATCTGTTCTCTGTGCTCCCCCACCCTTACCCCCGCTCTGCTGGCCACAAGCCTCCCAGGCTGACAGTGCCCCCTTGGTGTGCCAGGGCTGGACGTATGCTGTCGACTTCCCGGCCACCTACACCAGGGACAAAAGGTGGAACTCCTGTGTGCGGCGGCGGAAGTGGATCCGGTATAGGAGATACAAGTCCCGGGACACTTGGGCCAAGGTCTCGGAGGCTGGGGGCGGGGTGGGGATGCAGCCAAGGCCTGGGGTGGTGGTGGGGATTGGGTGGTGGGCAGGGGTCTCATCAAGACTGCTAAGGATCATCTTCCAGACCCACCCTGGGACCTGCCCCCCACACCACCCTATCTGCTCCTGCCCTCACCCTCAGGGAGGGTGAAGGTCCCTGGCCCAGGTGTTGACCACCCTGCTCCCTCTGCTCTACCTCAGATCCCATCAAAGGATGACCCCAAGGAGCTCCCTGATCCCTTCAACGACCTCTCCGTGGGTGGGTGGGAGATCACGGACGAGCCTGTGGGCCGCCTGTCGGTGTGGGCCGTGTCTCTGCAGGGAAAGGTAAGTCTGAACGCAGTGGGGAGGGTGGGGGCAGCAGAGGCTAGCCTGAATCCCCGCCTCCCCTGACTGTAGGCCTGAGCCATCAGGCAGCCACACCCCACTTCCTCTGAGCCCACCTGCCCTGCCAACTCACTGAGTGACCACCGGCTGGGCTCTGAGCTCCCTGGCAGCCACCTGGGGAAGGTGAGGGTACTCTGTCTAGGTGCCTCCAGGAGGAGGAGGTGGGGGTACCCAGCCTAGACCCCTGGCCTTCCACATTGTTGAGCAGGTAGGTGGATGGGTGGATTGATAGGTGAGTGAGGTGGATAACTGGATTAACAGATATGTGGTGTGTACTGACTGGGTCGACATTTGGGTCACTTCCAAGGGTGGTCAGCTATGACCTCAGCTGCCAAAGCTGAAGCCCCCTAAGCATTGTGAGTGGCACCAGCTGGTGGTGAAGGACAGGAAGCAGGTGTTTTAGGAACTTTCGTAAAAGGGGTTGGAGGTTTTCTCAGGACCAGGCTCCGGGAGGCAGGTGTCATTGGCGTGCCTCACCACTAGGGCGCACTCAAGCCCACCTCTGTGCAGCGTGGTCCTGACTCCATTCTGACATCTCTTGGCTGTGCCCGGTGCTTTCAAGGGACAGCCACCCAGGCCTGTCTTCTGAGGGCCTCTGGATGGGTTTGGACCAACAACTTTTGGGCAGACACCTAGCGCCTAGCCCTCAGCGACAGAGTAGAACTGCTCAGGCCGTAATCTTTACTGGAGCCAATCACCAGGTCTCTCTGGTGGGTTCAAACTGCTGGCCTTTCACTTAGCAACTGAGTGTGGGAAACCCACGGGGGCAGTTCCCTGCCCTATGAGGTCACTATGAGTTGGAATCAACTCAGTGGAAGTGAATTTGTTTTTCTGGCACCTCTAACCCCGAGGCACGGTCCCTGTACCCCTGCTAGTCCCACTCCCAGCTACTTGCTTCTCTCCACCCAGCAAGGTCTGGCCTCTGGCCCTGCGCCCCCCTCCCCAGCCCCACCTCCCGGGCCTGTGCTCCCTCCCTATCCAGGTGTGGTACCGAGAGGACGTCAGCCACCCCAACCCTGAGGGCTCTTCCTGGTCCCTCATGGAGACGCCGGGGGAGGTGGTGCAGATCAGCTGTGGGCCCCACGATCTGCTGTGGGCTACGCTCTGGGAAGGCCAGGCCCTGGTCCGGGAAGGCATCAGCAGGCACAACCCCAAAGGTGGGCGCTTGGGGAGCCCCTGAGCTGGAGGGGGCTGCAGACAGGGGGCCCAGTCCCGGCACTCCCAGCTGATGGAGGCCGCCTGGCTTCCCCTTCTGGCCTAGGAAGTTCCTGGTCCATCGTGGAGCCCCCTGGGGCTGAGAACGGCATCATGCACATCTCAGTGGGGATCAGTGTGGTCTGGGCTGTCACCAAGGACCGGAAGGTAAGAGGGGCGGGCGCTTGGGGCTGGCACTTCTCTTGTAGGTTAGTTTGTTATTGACACGCTCACACTTGGCCCCACCCTCAGTGAGTCATCTCACAGATCCGCAGCCACTCACAGGCGGCTTTCACCTGTTTACCCATGAGTCCCCTGGTCCCTGCATCTGCCTGGATTCCTTCCCTGAAGCTCAGAGCAGCCAGCACTGCTGCCACCAAGGCAATTCTCAGTCGAACTGCCCAGTGTTTCCTCGGCTGCCATCTGGAAATGCAGAACAACAAAAGTACTTTTCATACCGATATCTTAGCCTGTGAATCAACCAGAAGCTCCTCCACCGAAGGAGCCCCCCGGCAGCATAAGTGGTTGAAGCGCCTTGGAAGAAAGGTCTGGCTATCCACTGCTGAACCATCCCAAACCAAGCTCACTGCCACCGAGTCAATGCCAACTCACAGTGACCCTCTGACCCTACAGGGCAGGGTAGCACTGCCCCTGTGGGTTTCCAAGGCTGTAATTCTAGACTGGAGTAGAAAGCCCCATCGTTCACCTGAGGAGCAGCTGGTGGTTTCAAACTGCTGATCTGTTGACCTATAACCTTCACTGAATTAATAATAAAACATTCAAAACAGAAAGAGCAAGAAAGAAGCCCCGGTGGAGCCTAGTTCTTCCTCGACCCACATGGACCCACCTACTGGGCGGCAGCTGGCTTAATGCCCTGGGACCCTCTTCCACAGTGCTCCTCGTTTCTGTTTTCATTTTTGTTTGTCAGAGGCCAGGTGCACCCCAACAAGCCCACCTGCAGATTCCGAGCACAGCTGCTCTGTAACCACAGCCGTGGGCCTGCCCCGTGTCCTTGCAGGGTGGTCCCCCCGCACCCACATCAGCTTTTCCAAATGGGACGGTCTCCAGAGTCCCTCTGCCTGGGGCCACGAGACCGCGGCAGTGTGCCGCCCCCTTCAGATGAAATGAACAGACGCACCCTTTCTCAGCTCCAGACACTGTGAGAGGGGCCCGGGGGTTTTCTCGTGCAGGCAGCTCTTGTGGGACCCGGGTCACCCACGGGGCCTCATCGGCCTGGGCCAAGACGAGCCAGCATGGCTCTTTGAGAGCATGGGGGCAGAGTGGGGGCGAAGCACAGGGCTGGTGGGGGGGCGACAGCTGGGAAAACACGAAGAAAAGTGGGCTTCACGAGACTGCCGCATGGAGCCCTCAGGATAGATCCCAGAAGGGCTGTTTGTTCCCGTGCTGAGTTTGGGAGGAGAACGTTCCAGAATAAAGTCAGAAAGGCTGTTCTCTGACACCCGGGAACCAAGGTTACAAAACAAAAATGGGAGGAGGTAGGGGGCGATGAGGAAGGGCAGCTCACCTCCCAGGCCAGAGGTCAGCTCAACTGGGGTTGGGATTAGCAGCAGTTCTCAACCTGTGGGTCGTGACCTCTTTGGGGGGGTCGAGCGACCCTTTCACAGGGGTCACCCGATTCATCACATTATCAAAATGACAGTGATGAAGTAGCAACGAAAATAATTTTATGGTTGGGGGGTCACCACAACATGAGGAACTGTATGAAAGGGTCTTGTGTGGCATGAGGAAGGTTGAGAACCACTGGGCTAGAGCAAGGGTGAGGTTCGGGTTTGTTCTGGTTTAGTGTTAGAAGCTAAGGCTGTGATTGGAGTCTAAGGGTTAGAGTTAGGGTTTAGAGCTAGGGTTTAGGGCAAGGGTTAAGGGTTGGGGTTCAGGTTTAAGGCTGGAGTTTGGGTTCAGGGATAAGGTTCGGGTTTAAGGTGGGAGATTGGAGGGAGGGTTAATGTTTGGGATTAGACCTAGGGTTAGGGTTTAGTGTCAGGGTTAGGTTAACGGAGAGGGCTGGCGTTTGGGATTAGGGTCCGGGCTGGCTACTGGCTGTCTCTACTGTTGTTGTCAGTGGACAAGCCCCTTTCTCCCAGGTTCCTTCCCTGCAATGCCTGCCAGACCCAGGAAGGCGGGAGCAGCCCCCTCCCCCCCTCACCTTCCCCCCCAATGTAGCCACGTGTCTGTTGTCAGGGCAATGCCTTCAGCCTGAACATGGACTCAAAGCGGAAGGGCTGCCCTCCCCCCTCTGCCTCCTGGACCGCGGCCAGAATGGCAGGCGGGGGAGGGGCTGTGGACACTAAGCCATCTGCCGTGCTCACAGACGCGTGGCCAAAAGAAAGGACTCACTTGTTCTGCCCCAGCCTCCAAACAAACAAAGCCGCGGCTCCGTCGGCCAAGGAGGCACCTTTGTTTCTGGTTCGCCCAGGTGTGGTTCCGGAGAGGCGTCAACTCCCACAACCCCTGCGGCACCAGCTGGATTGAGATGGTTGGAGAAATGGTGATGGTGAACGTGGGCCTTGGAGACCAGGTGTGCAGGGCGCGAGGCACGCGGGGGAGGGGCCGTGGGGGCAGGGCGGGGCTCCGTGTCCCCAGGCTCCGCCCACAGGCGGGGAGGGCCGGGCTCAGCGTGGTCCGTGGGGTTCCCCTGGGCACGTGCTTCCCAGCTGCCTGAATTCCCTCGACGCTACACACACACCCTAATCCAGGAGGCCTCCAGGGGAGAGTCCCGCAGGCACTGGCCCTGACCCGCTAGTCTTCTCTCCATCTCAGGTGTGGGGCATCTCCTGTGAGGACCGGGCCATGTACTTCCGGCAGGGTGTCACCCCCAGTGAACTCAGCGGGAAGACCTGGAAGGCCATTGTGGCCAGCCGGGAGTGTGACCGGTCCCACTCAGGCAGCTCATCCAGTCTCCTCAGGTGAGATGGGGTGGGGCGTGGGCTGCCAGTGTGTGGCCACCTGTTTCTGATGGGTTCAAACCGTTTGACCTTGAGGTTAGCAACTCTGCCTAACCCACAGTGCTCTGTAAAGCCCAATCCCGTGGCCCTCCGGTCCACTCTGACCCGGAGCGGCTCTATAGGATGGTGCACTGGGCTGCCAACCATAACGGTAAGCCGTTCAAAGCCACCAGCCAGGCCATGGGAGAAAGACGGGGCTTTCTACCCCCATGAAGAGTCAGTCTTGGAAACTCACAGGGACAGCCTTACCCTGCCCTGTAGGGTCGCTGTGAGTCAGCATCGGCAGTGAGTTTGGGTTTTTGAGTATTGGGACAGAGGAGGATGGCCCCATTGGGTTTCCAGCTGTAACCGCAGGGCCAGCAGTTCAAAACCATCAGCTGCTCCTCAAGAGAAAGATGGGGCTTCTACTCCCTGGAACAGTCACAGGCTCGGAAACCCACGGGGGCAGCTCTCTGTCCTGTAGGGTCACTCTGAGCCGGGTCGACTCCGTGCCAGTGAGTGAGAAACCCATTCTTCCTCGCGTCAGCCACCTTTCCTTTTGCAGCGGTGCGCTTTAACCTTTGCACCACCATGTTCCTTCCATAGAGCCGGCGGGCTGGAAAACCCCAAGTTAGGGTGGGTGGGCAGTGTTGCTTTCTCTCGGGGCTCTGGGCGAGTCGTCATCCCCTCGGGGCACGCAGCAGTGTCCCACCAGCTTCCCAGAAGAAGTGGGTGGCGGCTGGCAGAGTGGATGTGAGTGTGGCTGTTGTTTCTCAGAAGCAGGTGGTGGAAAGTGTTGAGCTCTATGGAGGAGGAAGGAGGGACCAGGTGGATAGAGGGCCAGAAGAGTCAGTGGAGGGGGGGCTCCCACCGAGGGTGACGGCCCCCCGTGTTGTGCCCCCAGCGCCGGCTGCTTCTTCGGCGAGGAGGTCAGGGGTGGTGGGGAGTCCTCTGCCCCCAGCGACAGCGACGCCACCTCAGAAACGGACCGACCAGTCCCTGACCAGCCTCACCCTGCAGACTCTCTGGAAGGCACTGGAAGCTGCCAGGGCAGCTCGGCTGGGGGACCAGGGCCTGACTTGCCCACCACAGGGGCTGAGGAGGACTCAGGTGAGGGCTCTCGGCACAGCCCTGCGTCCTCCCCCGCTGAGCTGCCCTGGACCAACATTGACCTCAAGGAGCCCAGGAGGGCACCCGGCCACTCGGCCCCCGGACCCCCCGAGCCCACAGGCCTCTCCTCCCTGGGGCTCCTGCCACTGGGCCTAGACGAGCCCTATGTCACCGATGACCACCCACTGTGGGCATGGGTGTCCGGAGGAGGCTGCACCGTGGAGGCCCACGGGACCCTCAGATGGTTCTCTGCCCAGCCAGGTAAGCAGCCCTGCTCACAGGACAGGGTGGGTGGGAGAGGGGCCCCAGTGGAGAAGTGGGTGTGGGCTGTCCTAGGGCTCCGAAGCAGGCCCCACCCTGCTGCCTGCAACCCTGCATCCCTGAGTCTATCTCCTCATGTCCAGCAGACTGCCCCGCTCCCTTTCTTCTGACCCCCCCTTGAGGCTGAATGTCGGGGAGCGGGGCTCTGAGGTTGTGGAGGGGCCCAGCTTCCTGGCAAGAAAAGGTGCTTGTTAGCAAACATCCAAACAGAAGCGAAAGCAGCCAGGGCCTCTCTGCGCCGCGCATGGTCAGTGTCCCCTGAGCTGAGGCCTGGGCCCCGCAGGCCTGTCTCTGGCTGTGCAGACACTGGCGCCGCCGGTGACACCGGCTCAGACCGCTGCCTGGAGGAAGCAGATCTTCCAGCAGCTCACAGAGAGGACCAAGCGTGAGCTGGAGAACTTCCGGCACTACGAACAGGCCGTGGAGCAGGTGCCCTGCTGCTCAGGCTGGGAGGGGGAGAGGGAGGGGGGGTCCATGGGGGTGTCCACAGGGTGACAGCTGCATGCCAGCTCCCCATAGGTGCCCACAGATGTCCCTAGAGGGCCATGCAGTGTCCCCAGGGCTGTCAATGGGTGTCCACAGGGTGTCCACACAGTATCCCTAGGGTGTCCACAGTGTACACCCTGGTGGCCCCGGCAGCCTGAGCTGGTGCCTCCCACAGGGGAGTTGGGATCTGGAAGTGGTCGAGCCTGGACTCTGGGGCAGGGTTCTAACACCCAGCCAGAGCTGTGCTGAGCACTGACGTGGGCCTGGCTCCCAAGGACGTCCCCTGGGGTCCCTGTCTCATCACCAGGAAGAGGGGGGCTGGGAGCAAGGCTAGGTGGGAGCCCCATAGAGCCTCCTGGCCCCCACTGTGTGGCTCTGGGGAGTGGGTATTTGGGAACACCCCCCCACCCCCCGACCTACTTGTGATCCCCGTCCTCCCGCCGCCCCAGTCTGTGTGGGTGAAGACGGGCACGCTGCAGTGGTGGTGTGACTGGAAGCCCCACAAGTGGGTGGACGTGCGTGTGGCCCTGGAGCAGTTCACGGGGCATGACGGCGTGCGTGACAGCATCCTCTTCATCTATTACGTGGTCCACGAGGAGAAGAAGGTGCAGAGTGAGGGGAAGGGTTGGAACACCACTCAGGATTGGACCCCCAGGTGCTCAGTGCAGGCTCCTTGTCCCCCTCCCAAGTTGGCCACAACTTCCCCGCTCCTCCCACCCCACCTCCAGTGACTGCCGTCCCTGGTCCTTGGTCCTCTGTGGTTGTGGCCCAGTGTGTGCTGGCATTGTCCCCACCACCTGCAAGGCGCACCGAGCTCTAGTTTGCAGATGAGGGGCACTGGGGTGTCCACAGGGCTGGGGCACGGGGTCAACGGAGGTGTTCTCGGGGGTTGATTCCAACTCACAGAGACCCTACAAGGCAGGGTAGAGCTGCCCCTGTGGGCTTCCGAGATGTCACTCTTTTTTTTTTTTAAAGGTAATTTTATCGGGGGCTTTTAAACAGCTTTTATAACAATCCATTCATCCATTGTATCAAGCATATCTGTACCTGTGTTGCCATCATCATTTCTAACCTTCACTTTCTATTTGAGCCCTTGGTATCTGCTCCTCTTTGGAGACTAACTCTTGGCAGGGGCAGACAGCCTCATCTGTCTTCCTCGGAGCAGCTGGTAGTTTCAAACTGTTGACCTTGTGGTTAGCAACCCAACGTGTGACCACCATGTCCCCGGGGCTCCTTCCCACAACCGTAGTGTGGAAATGCTGTGTTTATTCACCCTGGCCTTGGCCCCACAGCCCACAGGAGGCCCCCTAGGACGAGGTCTGTAGAAGCAGGTGACCCCGGGCAGCTGCCCAGGGCCGTCTCTATCCCCTCAGTGACCATGTGACCCTCTCTGGACAGTACCTCCACCTGTTCCTCAACGAGGTGACAGTGCTGGTGCCCATCCTGAATGAAGCCAAGCACTCCTTCGCCCTGTACACTCCTGAGAGGACCCGGCAGAGGTGGCCCGCACGCCTGGCCGCTGCCACCGAGCAGGAAATGAATGACTGGGTGAGTGAGGGAGGGAAGGAGGGGCCAGTGGTTGGGGCCCACCTGGCCCAGCCCACCCCTACCTGGCCCTGACCTCGTGTGTCTCCCCCACCAGCTGGCCCTGCTCAGCCTGTCATGCTGTGAGAGCCGGAAGGTGCACGGCCGCCCCTCCCCCCAGGCCATCTGGTCTGTCACTTGCAAGGGGGATATTTTCGTGAGTGAGCCCAGTCTGGACCTGGAGGCCCCTGAGCGCCCACTGCCCTGTGACCAGATGTAAGTGTCCCCCTCCACCCGGCACCCAGGGCTATAGCCTGGGGGGTGGTGGGGGGGTAAGGGAGCGGGTGCTTGGGGCTTGGACAGAGGCCCGCCGGGCTCTGACGGCAGTGGGGGTGAGGAGGTGCTGGGGGACAAAGAGTGACGAGAAGCAGGGGGTTGAAGGCAGAGGTCACAGGAGGTGAGGGTGGCGAGAAGAAGAGCGGGGTCCTGGAGCATTCCACAGGCAGGGGTGCAGGGGTGCTTGGCCTTCTGCCCCGCACTGGGCTTTATCCCAGCTCCCTGGGGCCTGACAGAAGGAGTCAGGCCACCCCTGGTGATGGGGACGGGGCCTCCGCCCACAGGAGGGGTTGCTGTCTGGTGAGATAACTCGAGTCTGTCATCCCGTCTGCAGAGGGCTGGGAGCTACCTGCTTCCAGAAGGGACCTTCAAAGCCCCCGCCCACAGACCCCAGCAGACATTTGAAGTCCCTGCTCCCGGGGTCCCCTGTCTGGGGGCGCCTCACAGGGTGGAGTTCCCTTCCCCAGAGCCTTCTCCTGCTTCCTCCAGGAGCAGGTAGTCACACTAAATGCAAATCCCTCTGGCAGCCTGGGGGAGGAGCCAGGCCTGCTCCTGCATCCAGGTTTGGAGGCCAGAGACTCGCACCTCAGGGTGCCAGGAGGCGAGAGACCTCCCCACCTGAGACTGAGAGGCCGCAGGCAGGACTGAAGCCAGGCCCACCCCCCCTCCAGGTTCTGGCGGCAGATGGGCGGTCATCTGCGGGCGGTGGAGGCCAGCGGTCGAGGCGTGGTATGGGGCCTGGGCTATGACAACACTGCTTGGGTGTACACTGGTGGCTACGGCGGTGGCAGCTTCCAAGGTGAGGCCCAGCACCCAGGGCTCCCTCCTAGGTGTCCCTGCCCAATGCTTCTGCCTGCCCAGGAGGTGGCAGGGGCCAGGCAGTCCCTGGGATGACCCCTGAGGTTCAGCCTTGAGACCACCTGGCCCTCCCCAGCACCCAGGAGCTGAGGGAAGGCAGTGAGCATTCTAGAAAGACAAGCTGCCATAGCCTTGCAGTTTCACTGATCTCATTTCAAATGGGACCTCTGGGACAGTCCTGACCCCAGTCCCCTCATTCCCAGGCCTGAGACTTAAGGGGTGAGGGAGCAAAGAGCTTGCTGAAGCCCTGGGGACCACCCCCTCAAGTTCCGCATGGCTCTTAACAGGAAATATGGGTAGAAACAAGCCTTGAAATGGAACGACCGCCAGCCCAGCCAAGATGCTCCCCGGCGGGGCAGGTGGGGGGCGCTGAATCCTGATGGTGCAGTGGTCCACTAAGACCGCTGTGACACTCCCCGTTTGTTGGTGTCCAGCTTGCAAGGGAGGGAAGGAGCCCTGTTGGCATAGCAGTGATGAGTTCAGCTGCTAATTGCAAAGTCAGCAGTTTGAAACTGCCAGCCGCTCCTCGGGAGAAAAACGAGGCTCTCTACTCCCATAAAAAGCGACAGTCTCAGAAGCGCACAGGGCCAGTTCTACCCTGTCCTACAGGGGCGCCGTGAGCAGGCATCAGCTCAGTGGCCCTAAGTATGGTTTGGGTTTGTTTCGTTTTGTTTTTAAACAAGTGAAATTGGGGTTAGTGAGGGTTGTGTGGGTGGTCCCAGGTACTTTTTCTATAGTAAGGAGTGAACAGGTGGGCTTCACACCTGCCCCAAGGCATTAGCCACAGTGAGAGAGGATGTGTACAGCTGAGGACAGTGTGAGGCTAGGAGGCTGGAGGGGCTGCTGAGCACTGGGGGGTTGGTTTTCCTTTTAGCAGGTTCCTCTCACTGAAGCCGAGCTCAGTCATGGGTAAGGTGTGCACACCTGGCCCAGTCCCCTGCTCGACAAGCTCTGCCCACATTACCCCTGCTCTGTGGGTCTGGGCTCTGCCCCCAGCCCGCTTCTCTGCTGGCCCAAACCCTGAGTTCCTGAGGGGCAGGCATTATACCCGCCTCACCCCCCAGGCCTGACTGGCAGCACCAGCAACATCTACCCGCAGTCGGACGTGAAGTGTGTCTGCATCTATGAGAACCAGCGCTGGAACCCTGTCACTGGCTACACCAGCAGGTAGTGGCCCGGGGGACCCCCTGAAAGCCCCTTTGTTGGGAGCTACCCCTAGAACAGGACCCTACCTGTGCAGCATTTGAGTGCCTGGCTGCGCACCACAAGGTCAGTGATTCAAACCCACTGGTCGTGCCTCGGGAAAAAGATGAGGCTGCCCACTTCCAGAAAGAGCACCCACCTCAGAAACCCCGTGGGGCAATTCACTGGGTGCAGCATGGCTGCTATGAGTCGGAATTGACCCTATGACAACAGGTGTGGTCTATCACACAGAGGCCGCAGAACACAGCCAGACCTAGCTCACTGGGTCAGGAGCCTCAGTGGCATAGTGGTGATGTGTTCTGCTGCCATCTGTAAGGGCAGCAGGTCAATATCACCAGCCGCTCCCTGGGAGACAGACGAGGCCCTCTGCTCCCATAAAGGGTTACACCCCCAGGGGCAGTTCTGCCCTATCCTATAGGGTCGCTGTGAGTTGGCATCCACTGGATGGCAGGGAGTGAGTTCCTTGGGCCATCCCCAGACACCAGCTTAGTTACTACCGCTCTGGCAAGGAAGTAGCACGCTGCCCGGACTCCCGCCCGCCCATTCCCGGCGTCGCTCACTAGGGGCTGCTGTCATGACTGGGCTTGCTGTGCTGTTTTGGGGGGAGGAGGGGAAAGTGAAGGTGGTGCAGGGTCAGTGGTTTAAAACCGTCGCCGCTCTGGCCTTCTCCGGGAAAGAATTATGGCCGCCAAGACCCCCGGGGCAGTTCCCCGTCCCCAGAGTCGCTCTGAGTCTGCATCATGGCCTCGATGGCAGTGCGTTTCCTTTCTGGTTGGGTGGGGGTGGGGGGAGGCGTATAGTTCAGCACCCAGCGAATGGACGGACTTCTTGCGGGTGCCTGGCTCTGCGGCAGGTAGCATGAAGCTGCTGCTTCGCTGTCTGCTGACGTGTTGGTGCGTCTGGCCGGTGGTGCACGTCTGGGCGGGCCGGGGCTCTGTGGAGGGCCGAGGGTGGGCGCACTCGTTTCTGTGGGCAGCCTTCGGGAATGAGTGTTCAGCCTGGAGACAGCGCTGGGCCTCGAGTGGGAGGTTGCCCATGGGGTGGGGGTGCCCAGGCTTCCTTGTCCCTGAGTGCTTCTGCCCCGGGGGGCGGGGGGCGCCTGCCGTGGCTCGCACAGCACAGGGCTCCTCCCTCCGCTCCCTTCGGAGTCCCCGCTGGTCCCCACAGGGCCCGGGTAGGGCCTCCTGCTTCTGGGTGCTTTCCAGTCACCCGTGCTGCCCTCGCAGGGGTCTGCCCACAGACCGGCACATGTGGAGCGATGCCTCTGGGCTGCAGGAGCGGACCAAGGCCAGCACCAAGCCGCCCTCACCGCAGTGGACATGGGTGAGTGCCAGCCCTGCTCGGGCTGTCAGGCCCCGCCCTCAGTCTGCCCGGCCCCTCTGTGTCAGGGTTGGGCGGTCCCTAGGTCTGCCTGGCCCCTCAGTTTTGGGTACAGGGGATCCCCAGGTCTGCCTGGTCCCTTGGTTTTGGGTGCTGGAAGCCCCCATGCTGACTCAGCCTCTCCCCAGGTCTCTGACTGGTATGTGGATTTCAGCGTTTCTGGGGGCACCGACCAGGAGGGATGGCAGTATGCCAGTGACTTTCCTGCGTAAGCCCCTCTCCCCTCTTCCCTGAGCTGCGGCCCCTCATGCTGGGACCCTGGGCACAGGCCCTGGCAACCCATTCCTCCCTGCCAGGTGGGCCCAGGACCCAGGAGGCCAGAGTGAAGGGCCCTGTGACCAGAGCTGAGGCAGCCTCCAGGCGGTCGGGCCAGGCCCAGAGTGGGTATCAGTGTGAGCAGGCCACAAAGCAGTGTGCCACTTGGGGGTGTGGAGCGAAGTGGCGGGGGGATGGGGAGCTGGAGGAGGATGCCGGGGTGCTAGGAGCACCTGCATTGTACAATCCCATAAAAGGGGGGTGCCTGGGCCCCAAGGGCAGCAGCTGGGACTCCTCCCCCCACCCCCACCCCCTTCCCCTGGGCTCCCAGGCCCTCACCTGCAGAGAATGCTCCTATTTCTCTAAAGGAGCCTGATGGGGTTGGGAGGTGGTCTACCCCCCTGAACCAGGCCCTCCTGGCTGACCAGGTGTCCTGTCCCGCCTTGTGTGGTCCAGCCCCAGGGCCCTCCTCCTGCAGACAAGTGCCAGGGTGCCTGATGGAGGGCTCAGGCCCTACCTGGGCAGTGGGTGGGGGCAGGGGCGGTGGGTAGGGCTGGGCTGAGGGGAGGCAGCGCCCACCAGAACCCGGCCCAGGAGCCGGTGAGCCAGCAGGTCCCTGTCCTGCTTCTCACAGCGCCTACCGGGGCTACAAGACCATGAAGGACTTCGTCCGGAGGCGCTGCTGGGCCAGGTGAGGGGTGGGCTGACTGGCAGGGAGGGCGGGGCTTGGAGTCAAAGTAAAGGTCAGGCCAGGAAATGCCCACGGGCTGCCAGCCTCCAGGCTCCGGTTTCCAGGACACTGCTGGGGGCTGGGGGCGGGGCTGGAGGGGACAGCCCCTCCCAGGCACCCTGTCCACGCCCATCATCCAGAAGCTCTACCCGCTTCTGCACCTCTGTCTCACCTGGGGTCCCCTCCCCAGACTGAGCTGCTTCTGGGGGGGCCCCCCCGGCACCTGGTGAGACCATTGCCAGCCCTGTGGCACAGTGGGTTAAGTGCTGGGTGAACCCACCAGCCGATCTGAGGGAGGAAGAAGAAGCAGTCTGCTTCCGTGCGGAGGACGAGAGCCGGGGAACCCGGGGGCAGTTTTGCTCTGTCCTGGAGGGTGGACATGAGCCAGCCCGGCCTCCAGGGAAGCAGGGGGTGGGTGGAAGTGAGGAGTGGTCTACCCGAACTCCAGGCAGCAGGTCCCATTGTCCGCCCTCTGCTCTCCTTCCAGAAAATGCAAGCTGGTTACCAGCGGGCCCTGGCTGGAGGTGGCTCCCATCGCCCTGGGGGATGTGTCCATCATCCCCGAGAGCCTGGGCGCCGAGGGCAGCATTGCCCTGTGGGCCATCAGCGACAAGGGGGACGTGCTGTGCCGCCTGGGCGTGTCTGAGCTCAACCCAGCGGTAAGCACACACACACACACCAGAGGTGCGCATGCACAGACACACACGCACACTCACATGCACAGCGTACACATACATATGTATGTACTCCACAGGTGCACAGATGCATGCTCGTATGTATACACCTGTGCACACAGACACCACCTATGTGTGTGCACATGCAGATACACACAAGTATGCGTGCACACATATATATACACACACACCACAGGTGGGCATGCACACATACATACACAGAAGCACATGCACATGTTGTGCTCGACACCCCCACGCCCACACATTGGCACCCATGGGCCAGGGGCTGAGATGAGCAGACCTCCTCTCAGGGTCTGAGGTCACGGAGCCCCTTTGTCACAGCTCCTCATAGAGCATGTTCCCTCCACACTCCAGAGAGGAGCACTCTGAGGCCCAGACAGGTCAAGTGATCAAGATCAGGTCAGGGTTGGCTGCTCAGGCTGCCTTTATATGTGGCCCCAGGGCCACGCCCCCCAGATGCCCACCAGTGAGTGAGAGCTGCTGCCCAGGGGCAGGCACCCAGGGCTGCTTGGCGGGGACCCATGGGTGGCCCAGCCTGAGCCGTGTTTGTTGGCTGCTGCCTCAGTGCCCTCTGCCTCCAGGGCTCCTCTTGGCTGCATGTGGGCACCGACCAGCCCTTCACCTGTGTCTCTGTGGGCAGCTGCTACCAGGTGTGGGCCGTGGCCCGAGATGGCTCTGCTTTCTATCGGGGGGCCGTGTCCCCTTCCCAGCCAGCCGGTAAGTGTTTCCCAAAGACCTCAGCCCAGCATGTCCACCCTTGAGATGCAGAGGCCTGCCAGGCGACCCCCAGCCTTGAGCCAGAGGGATGCCTGGGAGGGAAGTGGGTCTCCCAATGTCAGTCAACTCAACAAGTGTTTGTGATATGCTGCTGGGCCTCTGGGCCAGGACCCCAGCAGAGACTGAGCCCCACCTCCACTGGCTTCTCCTGACCCCTCTGGCCCCTGCCTCCCTGCCCTGGCCCCCAGCCTCTGTCTCCTTCTGGCTCCCCTTGCAGGTGACTGCTGGTACCATATCCCCTCCCCAACAAAACAGCGGCTGAAGCAGGTGTCGGTCGGGCAGACGGCCGTGTACGCCGTGGATGAGAACGGTGAGCCATCATTGCCCAGTGGCCTCGGTGCCCCAGGTCCCTGAGCACACGAGGGGCCAGCACAGCCTAAGTGTCCGAGTGACCTCCTGGGTGACCTGAGCCCTGGTCTGCGTTCGCTCAGACGGGCTGTGAGGTTGGGTAGGCCCAGGGGGGTGGGGTGGGGCTTCTGAGGTGGGCACCAGCCCTCCCAGGAGGTTGGGGTCCCTGGGTAGGAGCTGGTACCTTCCTGCTGGGTGCAGTGACACCCCCACCTGGACGTGGTCTTCCAGCACAGGACCTGCCAGGAGCCAGGAGGTGGGTGGGTGTGGTGGGCCTAGCCCCAGTCCACCGAGCTCACTGTCCCCTGCAGAGCCTGCCCACCTGTCCCCTCTGGCCCTGCCACAGCAGGCTGTGGACTCCAGTTAGGGTGCTTAGGCCAGATCTGCTCTCCATGAAGCGTCCTGGGGCACAGCAAGTTAAGCATCAGGGTGCTCACTGAAAGGCTGGCAGAAAGCTGGGGCCGGCTGCTGCCCTAAGGACTGGGCCTCAGAACCCCTTGGGCGTGTCTGTCCGGCCATGAGAATCCGACTCCGTGGCAGTGGGTTTGCATTTTGTTCCATTTGAACCACCTCTGTCCTTTCTACTCCCGTGAAGTCAGTCTGGGAAACAGGGCAGTCCGGGCCTGCCCTGTGGGCCATGTGGGTCGGCATGGGCTCGATGGCAGGTCCTCAGCCTCCGAGCGTGTCCAGAGGCAGAGGACCAGAGACAGCGTGCCCACCCTGCTCTCTCCCCAGGGAACCTGTGGTACCGGCAGGGCATCACCCCCAGCTACCCGCAGGGCTGCAGCTGGGAGCACGTCTCCAACAACGTGCGCAGGGTCTCCGTGGGGCCCCTGGACCAGGTCTGTGCTCACTCCTGGCCCCACCTCGCCCCCAGCCCTCGTCACCCCAAGGCCCCAAGCTCAGCATCCTGTTTTCCAGGTCTGGGTCATTGCCAACAAAGTCCAGGGGAGCCACAGCCTGAGTCGGGGGACAGTGTGTCACCGCACGGGGGTGCAGCCCCAGGAGCCCATGGGGCAGGGTTGGGACTATGGCATCGGGGTGAGCAAGGCCGGGGGTGGGAGGCGCTTTAAGGATGTCTGACTATGGGGGGGGGTCCCCTGGGTGAAGTAAGGGGTGCCTGACCATGGGGGTTTCCCCTCGGGGGAGGCTGGGGATGTCTAGACTTTGGGGTCCCCTAGGGCCTGGGGGGGTACCTGGCCATGGGGAAGCTCATGAGTGTGGTAGAGATGCCTGAGAATGGGGGTTCCCTTGGGGCCCAGTGGGGGTACCTGACCAGGGCCTGCTGAGAGTATGGTGGAAGACACTTGGCTCGGGACCCCCAGGGACCCAGGGTGTCAACAGCTCAGTGACTCTTCTTCCCCCTCTCCCCCAGGGTGGCTGGGACTACATCTCCATCCGGGCTAACGCCACCAGGGCCCCCAAGAGCGGGTGCCAGGAAGCCAGCGGGCCCCTGCAGGAGGTGGTCAGCGGCCCCGTGCGGTGCTGAGGGGCCAGCATCATCCATATTGTGATGCAAGTGCCCAGAATGTGAAGCTTTGGGGAAACCTTGTAGCCCCTCCCACCACCTACCCCATCTCCAGGACCAGAACCAGGAATGCCATTCTGAGCCCAGACCCCCATCCTGGGCAGCAATCCCACCCCCCCGTGCCTCCTGCCCTCCGAAGAGAAGGACAGAGAGGTTGGAGTGGCCAGCGTCCCTCAGCACAGGACCTGCAAGGAGGGGGCCCTTCCTTCAGAGGTTGCAGGGAGGTGGCTGAGAGGGGAAGTGCTTGCTAGAGGGAGCGGGCAGTCCCCTCTCCAGGTGGGCGTGGCTCCTGACACGGAGCCCTGCACGGGTCCAGGGAGTCCCCAGGTCCCGGGGCAGCCACACGCAGGTCTTGGGGTGGCAGAGCTTTTCTGTGGATCATGAGGTGGAGTACCGGGTGAGGGCCAGCCTGGATGACCAGGCAGCAGTCCAAGATCCTGTGCTGGGGCTGAAGCCCCACAAGCCCCTGACAGAGCTGCAGGGCATCAGAGGGCGCCCATGGACAGCCTGCTTGGTGAGTCCCGAGCCAGCTTCCTACCTTGATGTCTGGTCTGGAAAGCCATGGGCTGCCATGCCCACCTGGGACCCAGCACCCATCTGCATGCAGCCTCCCACGAGAGCAGGGCCGGCCCCACTTGGTTCAGTCTCACTGTCCAGTGATGGGGAGCCACCTCCTGCAGGCACTGAGGGCACGGTGCATTCTGGGGAGGTGGGTCCCGGGTGGGGTGGATGGCACAGAGCTCGCAGACAAATCATGAAGGGTGGACCCTCCCTGTCTGTTTACACTTGAAAGTCAAGTCCCCTGCCCCCTCTCTGCGGGGGAGCGAGGGCATTAGGGCTGCTTCCCACTAAGAGGACATGTCACCCTGTGACTGCTGTTAGTTCCTGGGGGCACCCACGTCCCCACCCCTGCCAGCCTCCCAGGGCCACCCCACTTCCTCAGATAAGTGTGCAATGAATGTCCAATAAAAGGCACGCCAGCGTGCGAAAACCACGTGACACTTTTATTGGCCCACTGTGATGACGATGCCCTCATCCCCGCCCCCCAGTGGCACCATTCTGGTCCTTTCCCCCTCTGACCCCACAGGTACCCAAGCTCCTAGGGGCCACCGGGAAGAGTGGCCTTCAGCAGCTCGGTCCCTCACTCATCACCCTGCCCCCAGAATCAGCAGCCGGATGCCTTCACCTCTTAGTGCCCCAATGACAGGGCCACCATTCTGCCCCCTCCCCCCAGGCTCCAGATGCTGAAGGTGTCACCCGGAGGCAGCCTCACCAGGGTCTCTGAGCCTGATGGGGTTCTGTGGTTGGGGTCCGGGGTATCCAAGACCAGGACCTGAGCAGCCTCGCCCAGACCGTCCCTCCCAAAGCAGAGCTGGGATCTCTATGGGGCCGAGGGGCATGTAAAACTGGCTGCCTGGCCCCACCACCCCTGAGGAAGCAGAAAGTGGCAAGGGGTACCCTGACATCCACAGCCCCCCTATTGGACCCTTCTTCAACCCCCACTCTGCAGGCTCCCGCTTTCCCTTGGCTGGGCAGCTGGGGGCTTGTATCCTGGTAACTCCCCCTGACTGCTGGCTAGGGGTGAGCTTGGGTGTCAGACCTCTAGGTGCTGCTGGCAGATAGAGACCACCCTCCCAAGCCCCCCTCAGGAAGCTGAGGCGGGGAGAGAGGGGCAGAGCTGCTCATGATTGGAGTGGCTGCAGCCACGGCCGAGCCGAGCGACCGAGAGCACCCTGTTGGATGGGCCTGAGCTCCCGCCTCCCTTCAGCCAGCCCCATCACCGTCACAGGGCTGTGCTGGGGGCAGAGAGAAGAGAAGTCCTGCCAAGTCAGCACCCGGCAGGAGGAAGCTTGGCCTGAGGCTGTGGGGACCTGTCAAGCTGCCTAGGGATTGGGGGAGGGAGACCCAACTGTCCCCAGGATCCGGGCACACCCTAAAATCCTCCCAGACCAACCAAGAAAAACAAACCCACTGTTGAGATGTCCCTACTCACTGCGGCCCTGCAGGACAGCCGGACTGGCCCAGCGAGTTTCCTCCTGAATTGTGGCTGCTGGGGTCAAACTGTTGACCTTTTGTCAGCACCTGAATGCTTAACCGCTGTGCCACCAGGAGCCTTCAGTCAGTCGCCGAGACCCCACATGACCACAAATAGGCCTGAGAGGTAACCGGAGGGGAGCCCCCTCCTTTCCAGGCTGCTACACGGGGACCTGGCCCAGCCCACCCCGCAGATGAGCAGGAAGGGCGGCTAGCCCTGCCTCCAGCCCCACCCCTGAGTGCCCCCAGCACCAGGGCCACAGATGGGCCTGGGTTGGATGGACCACACAGGGACCCTCCACAGTCAGGGCTCAGCCCAGAGCCCACCCTGTGGCAGCTAGAAAGGGCCCTGGCCCCTCTTCTGGCTAAGTTCCCTCGTAAAGTGAACTGAGGTCCTTTTTCAGTGGTCCTGTCTGAACGCCTCAACTTCAGCTAGAAAGCTCCAGCTGCCTGGACTCTGCTAGGCACTCCGTGTGGTCTCAGGCTGCTCCTGGCCAGCTCTGTGCCTCAGTTTACCCCAATGAGAAGGCCAGATCCAGGTCGATCCCGCCCAACGATGCAGGTCGGAGGGTCCCAGCTGCCGACAAATGAGACAAGTCATCTCCCACGCCCTGGACTCTGTTCCTGCCTGGGAGGGGGAGGAGTGAAGGCCAGGGCCTGTCCACAGCTGCCAGGTGGGGCCAGTGTAGCCACAAGCTTGTAGCCCACAGAGCAGGAAACAGCTCTCAGCTCCTGGGAAGTGCCTGGGTGAGGGGGAGACCGGGCCACCAGGCCCAGGTTCAGGGTAGCCAAGCCACCCGAGAGACTCAGACCACAGGGGCTGGGCTGGGCTGGCTGGCCCGCTGGTGTCCCAGGCAACCCTAGGTCCCCTCTCGGAAGCTGTGGATCTGCGTGGAGTACCGTTGCAGGTGGCCCTCCGGAGGGGACTCGCCGGCCCCCTGCTGGTAATGCTGGTAGAGCTTGGGCCCCGGGCCCTCGAGGCTGGCCAGGCGGCCGCTGGACATGGTCAGGATGGTGGCTGTCAGGGACTTGATGTAGTTCTTGGCCAGCGTCAGCGTCTCGATCTTGGAGAGCTTCTTGTCCGCGCGCACGTGCGGGATGACCTCGCGCAGCGCCTGGAAGGCGTTGTTGAGCTTGTGCATGCGCTGCCGCTCGCGCTCGTTGCTCTCCAGCCGTCCCCCGTGCCTCCTGCCCTCCGAAG